TGAGGGAGGAGAAGGAGGAGGAGGAGGAGGAGGAGCAGAAAGAGAAGGAGAGAAGGAGGAGGAGGACCAGTGTAAACCTAAGAGTCATCAGCGATATTGTAATCAACCCTCCTTCCAAGCTTCCTTTTCATTAGCCCGTATAAAGGGTTCATTTCCATTGAGGGGATTGCCTAGCTTGAGCCATGGATAAATATTTAAAGGCTGCCGCCTCTGCCGCCGACCCCAAATGGGGTCTTGTGTTTTCTTTGTTGTCCGGGTCGTTGCGAGCGGTTCCCGCAACTGCGGGGGAGAGAGGAGGGTGGTATTCAGTTTGAGTAGACGACGACGACGACGACGACGACGATGACGACGATGATGGCGTCGACGACGACGACGCCTGAGACATCCTCGGAATACTGGGCTCAGATCTGCCGTGGGCTGAGGTGGTCCAGCCAGTCTGGCCTGAGCCTGAAACGTCCTCGCAACTCTGGGCTCAGCTACGCCCTGACCTGAGGTGATCCAGCCAGTCTCGCCTGACACATCATCGCAACTCCGGGCTCAGAGATGCCGCTCACGAGGCGGCTCGTTTCGCCTGAGGCATCCTTCCAACTCTGGGCTCAGACATGTCCGGTCCTGAACAGCTCGGACAACGGCATGTTGGGGTCACAGATACGACCAGACTACGGTCGGAAGCGACGTGCATCTGCGGGATCACGCGGAGGAGTTTGAAGAGTGGCAAGCAACGATCGCGTCGGGCGATGGACCCGTGAAGGTGTTGTGTTGCCCCGAAGATCTGCGCTGCAGCACGGAATCGTGGCACGAAGGGAACGAGGTATGCGATCGTTGCGAGGCGCCCCTTTGCGAGGAATGCCGAACGGGTATGATTGGGCCGAGAGGAGAAGCGGTCGTGCCACCTGCAGCTCTCGCTAATGACATGATGACGTTCTACTCGCCGGAAGAGCTATTCGCAGGAAACGTAACGCTGCTCGAGATGATTTGTGCGTCCGTGTGCGTGACTTCGATGGTATGTTTCACCCTGGAGAAGCGGTATCGCAACGAACGATCTTTTGACATGGAGGCGGGGAACCTCACGCGTCGTATGGCTGCTCGCGGGAACGCGACGTCCTTCCCGATGCCGTGGACGGACATGCTCGCGCAGCTGACCGCCTTGGAGGAAGGGGCGTCGAAGGCAAGGCCGCCGTCGGTGCCGCGGACAGGCAAAGAACTGGCAGACATAGTGTCAGTGATATTGAAGTCCGGGGGAGACGACGATACGGCAGCGAGCATGGCGAAGTTCATACATCAGGCAGTAGTCCGTCGGGATGTGGTCGTAAAGCTGATCGAGGGGGCGAAAAAGCGTGGGCACCGAGCGTATCAGCACGTTTGCATGGAAGATGTGCGAAAAAAAGCTGCGGAGCTGCCTGATGGTGAGGTGCCGCCCGAGATCATGCGTTTGGTGCCTTTGGACAACGAGCTGGACAAGATACAGATGCAGAAGGCGGCGACGCCAGTTCCGCGCCCGGATGGGTTGCAGGAAGCGGCGGAGATCTTGGAAACGGCGAAAGGCAACGCCGTGGTTCTGGAGAAGAGCAGCTTCGATGACGGGGATATCAATGCCCAGCGCGTGGAAGCCTTACGAAGTTTTGTACAGAGGGTGTCGCCAGAATGCGAACACGATGGAACCAGCGAGCGCACGGATCATAGCGAGAGTGAGTCGGAGCACGAAGGTGCCCGAGCGAAGCGCCCGCGCGAAGGCGGGCGAGAAACGGAGCCCGACGTCGCGCCGGCGAAGGAGAGGGAAGACGCGAGATTTTTGACAGAGGCGCTGGAGAGGAACGAACGAGTGGATCGTTTGCGGGTATGTACGGGGAACACAATGATGGATCAATTCGAACCGTGGTATTTCGGCGTGGCTTTTGCGTTCATTTTCAAGTATTGTACAGGCATGCCCGACATGCCGGCCTTCTTGAAGCGTCCGCGGTATCGGCGTTCGGAAGAGGCCCCGCGTGTGGAGTTGCCGCTGTGGGTTCGCATCATGAGTCGTCGCGTAGAGAGCCAGTTGGCGCGCGATTGGCATTTCGGGTTCGTGTCGTGGAACTTGGTATTTCGTTCAGCGGTGAACCTGAGCAGGACGTGGTTTACGTACGTGTCAGCGAACCCGAAGGACCTGGACGCGCAGATCACGGCCGAGGAAATCAGCGAAGGGGCGAAGCAGATCTACCGTGCATTGGCGGGGAAATACCAGGACGTGAACGGTAAGAAGCAGAAAGTCATGGGAGACATGAAAGTGCGCCACCTGAGCAGAGAGCTGGTTTACGTACGTGTCAGCGAAGCCGAAGGACCTGGATCACGGCGCAAGGAGACAGACGAACGGAAGCAGATCCTAACGAGCGGGGAAGTACTCGGTGACGGTTCAGAAAGTCTCGGACAACCTGTATTGTCATGCTGCAACCATAGCTTCAGCGAACGCGCGCGTGTACGGGGTCCCCATTTTCGTTACCTTTTCTCCCGACGAAGGGCACAATATGATCATGGTACGGTTGTCGCGCACGCGGCGCCGTGACCCCGTCCACAATGCGGCGGACGACGCCGACGACGCGGCTGCGTCACG